AGAAACTTAGGGTTTAGGAATAAAGGTTGTGCTGAAGAGCCTGCATGGCAGAGGACAGAATTACCACCAGCCATTTTTCTCAGCTGGACACTTACTAATTGTTTTATCCAGAGAGTGTATCTTTATAAAATCGATTTTTAAAAACATCTATAATTTGTAGGAAGTAATTGCTAATGGTGCTTTACAAAATGAAATTTATTACAACTGCTTTATAGACATGCAATAGTGGATCACCAAAAAATTATGTGCAAACTTATCTTCTGATGCCCTAAATAGATTTGAAAGGGCAGTAATTATTAGATTGAAATGTATTTATTACAATTTCAAAAATCCCAAATGCATGTCCTCTTACAGGTGGTTGGTAGCAGTAGCATACATTTCATCAAGAAAGCCATATAATAATTTTGAGCAACATGCAGAAATTCAGTACAATTTGATTTTCACAATTCTTTGATTACCATTCATGTTTCTTATAATATTTCATTCAGTTTCTGGAAACCATATGTACAGATGAAGATAGAGAGAGGAATTTTGTAAGGACTTTGTGGAGCTAAAGCATATTTTGAGAATCAGTGTAAATTAATGCTCTAATCCACTTCACACAGATAGACTCTGTGTGATTCTGTGACGCCTACACTTAGCCAAAATAGTTTAAAAAGGGGGAAGATCCATGCTATAGCATTAATAGTGTAACAACACACACCACCCAGAAGACTATACACCTGTGGGACCAGGATACCTTGATGCTTTACTCTTCTTTGAAGAAAAGGCTATTTTTTAGTATTTTGATAAAGTTAAAGTTAAATCAAGAAAAATACCCCATAGCTTCCAGCCCAACCACAGCAGTTACGTTTATGATACCACTCTGTTTAGGGTGCTTTGAGAAAAATACAGACCTTGGTACTGAGAGATGAATTTTTGATAAAAGAGAGATGACATTTTTGATAAAAAGTCATTCACTTTGTAGAACACAGTAAAATGCATTTATGCAATGCTTTTGCAAAAACTGCGGAATATTAAGCAATAATGTTAATTCTTTGACTGATAAAAATCTTTTAATTATTTGCTTAACATTAATTATGTTCCCAGTAATTAAGAGGGTGCCAGAGAAAGCATTAAAAAAGATTATTTTCACTTTGCTGCTGTTGGAGATGTGAAAGCACTATTTCTAGTCAAAAGCATACTGTAAAAGAAATAAACATTCATGGTAAGCAAGGATAGCTTCAAAAATAACCGTAAGTGAGAAAACTCCTCTTAGAGATCCTGATCTCTTTAACTAAAAGCACAAATGTGTATGCCTATTTTAAAGCGCTGACTTAATTTTATATAGTTGGGCAGATTAGCTGCTATCAAGAGGAAAAACTATGTCGCCTTCAAATAATTCAATGCACCTACTTCTAAAAGATGTGCTGATTACCATGTACCCTGTGAGAGAAAGGGCTGCCCTAAACGTTCCAGTCTCGACTCTCCAACCTGCCAGACACGTTGCAGGTATTTTCATACCAATTCTAAGAAAATGTGTTACATTCACTGTAGAAATCACCCAAGAACACATTATATTTACAGTTGTAATATCCCCTGAAATTAATTTCATCTATTTGCTTGCAAGACAAGACAGAAGGAGCTTGTCTGCCTCCCACAGGACTTAAAGCAGTCCCCAAGCATTGAGAGTAAATGTTAAGGAGTTCCAGGAGTGTTTTAAACAGAGGTTTGAAGTAGGTCAGATGAATTACAACCAGAAGCGCCCTTAATTCTCTCCACCAATTATAAGGAGAGCCTGAGATGACTATCTCAGACATAGCTTCACTACAGATACTTAGATTTAGCTGAGATAAATCCCATCAAGAAAAACAGGAATGAAATTTAAGGATAGTTGTAAGAAAAACAACGTGGCGAAAGTTGGAATCCAGCACTATCTGCTGTATTTTTAAGGTACTATCAGCTGAAATTTATAAACTCTTCTTTGCTTTTCCCAGCAAATAACTCTAGTTGTTACATATGTCATATATACACTGAGAATACAATATCCCAGACTTGTCAATTTATTTCTACTTAAAATTCAGATAGCCCATTTTTTCCCCTCATGGCTCTGAAACAGAATATCGCACATCTTTTCATAATGGCAATACCAATGCCCATATATTCAGCAACATATTGACAAGCTTTTTCTTAATACATAAATATGTAATTCCTTTTTCCAGAATTGTTGCCCTTCCAAGTCGGCCTGTATTTGTTATTATGAAACACTCAGGAAAAATAAGACAGAAGAAACCCAGAAGAAGAAGAGTGCCTTGAAGAAGGACACAGCAAACTGCACAGGGTATTCTGTAAAGATGCTGCTGCTAATAATAACAGCTCTTTCAGAAATAGGTCTTACTTTTAGTTCCTAAATATAGAATCATCTCTTATAATGCTTAAAATTCAGAAGTTTGCTGGTTCTTACCTTGTTTAATGTATAATCTATAGTTTTTACTGTAGTGCAAATTAATCATAAGCAGAGGCAGAACAATTTCATCAAATATCGACAATGTCAGAAAGCAATTCTAAATGACATATATCAAACGCACATAAATGGATTAACTTTAGTGAAAAATGCTGAGAAACTGAGCAGAAGCAACCTACAAACTGCCTCTGAAGTCCTTCCATGGGAAAAATAATTAAAACACAAAGATCATGAGAGCTTCTGTACTGAATATATTACTAAGGTCTATACCTAAGCACATACTCATTTTTAATATAAACAAAACGATTATACAACTCACCAGTTGCACTATTCCAGTATGACAAATCTAAAAATGTTACTTAAAAATTTGCCATATCATGTTTGGGGTAATACTAAGAGAGACCTTATCACTGGCTGCAGCTACCTGAAAGGAGGTTGTAGGGAGGCAAGGGTCGATCTCTTTTCCAGAATAACTGCTCATAGGACAAGATGAAATGACCTCAAGAGGCGCCAGGGGAGGTCCAAGTTAGACGTTAGGAAGAATTTCTACACGGAGGGAGTGCTGAAGCATTGGAAGAGGCTGCCCAGGGGTGGTGGAGTCACCGTCCCCAGCCGGGTTCAGGGAACGAGGAGATCAGGGACATGGTTTAGCAGGCAGGGTGCTGAGGGGCTTACGGTTGGACTCGATGGCCTCAAAGCGCTTTTCCAACCATAGTGATTCTGTGATAATGCTTGTGAACTGCAGGATAAATCTTCAAGGTTTCCACTGGCATTCCCCAAGTGTGCAGTTACTTCAATGATAAAATTAGGCTGAAGGCAGAGCTATAGCGGATGCTTACTCAACAAACGTAGTTTCTACATTTAAACAAGATTTCTAAATTTAAGCAAGATGTTCTAAACACAACAGAACACTTAATGCTGCACTGGGGAACACAAAAGTAATAACTATAATGGAAATGAGAAACATTTTGAGAAAATTTTCAGAATGTACAATACACAACTGATGATTTCCAGATACAAGTTGAAAATTCTTACAGAGATTTTGGTCCTATTGTAACACAAACAGTCATGCAGATAGTGAGAGCAGTACAGAATGTTTTCCACCTTTCACAACTACTCTGGTGAGTGAAACCCTCCCTTTCTGACACAGCCATTTTTAATGCTATTCTCATACTTACTACCTCCATGTTTTAATTATGTTGGAGAACCTATCTTTGTCAGTCAGTCAAGGCAATCTGACGAACCAGAAGCTTTGCAGGCCAGGCAGATTTTTGATCACTCAACTGGCTCCTACATTTCACTAATGGTTTATCCAAAGTTTCTATTTTGAAATTTTCATAAACACAGAGGAATTGAGCAATCTAATGATTTAATATTGTAAAGCGAAAGTAGTACGTATATCCTCCCCCCCCAAAAAAAGCTGTTTTCTTTGGATGGTGGACAATAATCTTTATGTTAAGGGAAAATGCTAAGTCCTTGCTTACTAGTTGTTAGAACATAAAACATTTTCTAATTTACACATACATATGCACAAAAACACACAAACAAAACAAAGTTTAAGAAATTCTAGCTTAACACAGTGACATTTTAAGCTGATTTAATGAAAAGTTTAATATAATGCTCTGAGAATAGTATACGATAAGTGTAAGTTGAGTTATTCATAAAGTAGGACCTTCAGTATTTCTGTTTGTTATCAACAGGAGGATGCAATTTTAAATCTCTTGCTTTTTACTTAATTAGTCTTTTTACCCATTGAGATTTTTCAAAATGATACAAATAACATTTCCATCAAATTAAGTTTTCTAATATCTATGACATTTCTGTATCCCCAGTACGGTACATGCAGATAAATGGGGAAAGGTGCATGCGAACTTTGCTAGAGTTACCTTCTCCTACCCCTTCCTTTTAAGATAATAACATGTGAAAAACACAGTCCTTACTTTAGATAGCATCTGTTAAAAACAACAACCAAAAAAACACCAAAAAAAAGGCTCACAGCATGTAATATTTCCTCTGGTCACAAAAGCAATTTCTTTCAAGAAAAGCACAGCACAGCACATTAACCAACAGGCATAAAATAATTCACAATACATACGATATAAAAGGTTTACATACCATCAAGAGGCAAGAAAAAAGCAAGAAAGGAAGGAAAAACGGGAAAAGGTACAGGGAAAGGGAATATTACAGAAGTACTATATATTTCATTTGGTTGTAATGTTTTTAAAATAGGCCTGATTTTATTTCTATGGGCCTTATATTGTGGCAGAATAATCCCAGACCAACAACACTTAAAATTTTCAACACCCATTCCCTCCTCCTCACTCTGTTTTTAATTTATTTCATAGTAAATAAAGTTTAATGGTAGTAAAAAGTGGGAAGGAGATTTCATAGAGAAATGTAGGCAGGAAATTAAAATTTTAAGGGCATCATCAGGTCTGATCTCCATGTAACCTGAGGCGTCTACTTATTTATCAACAGTTACATCACAGTTAGTTCTTGAATTACATCACATTAAATAAGAACACCCAAACAGGTTAGGAGATGATGTTAATATTACCTTTGTAAAATGAGTGGGCAAAGCTCTGCTCAGGAATTAACTTGGCAAGGAATCCATGGTTCAAACTTGGGTGAGGGATAGATGGTATGACCACAACTGTGGAGAAAATCATGGAATCAAATGTGAGCCAGCTAGAAATCATGTGTGGCCTGGTCCACTGTGGATCCATGACATTGGTCCTATCTCATTGAAACATGCAAATATGATATTCTCAACAAAAATGCATTTCTAAAGGAAGAAAACAAGATCTGTATCAAGAGATAGGAAACAGCATACCTATTAGTTGGGTACTGCAAGAGCAACATTCACAGGGGAAAAAAGACACAGAAATATATACACACAAGACAGTCATGGGTGCACTTCACTGAAACTAGGAGTCTACTAATGTGGAATCATAATATATACCCAGGAAGGCACATCAAATTATGATTGCTCATAATTGACTATGCTAATACAGCTTTATTTAAAACGGAAAGCCTAGAAGCACGTTAGACTTTGAAAATAATGCATTAGAAGCAAATTAAAATTCAAAGATGAATTGGAAAATAATGAGTAAGTGTAAATATGACACAAATTGGAAGACAAGCTACCTGTGAAAATTGAAAATTAGCAACTCCATAAATGAAAGAAATTAATTCAAATTCAATATTAGAAGAAAAATGTAAATGAAGAGCATCATGGAAAGATGTAGGTACTGTTTTCGGTTTTCCACATCTTTTATCACAGAAGGTACTGTTATAAACAATCCAATGAGACTTGAAAGATCTATGGAATTGCCAATATAAATTATTTGAAAGAAACCGGGGAAAAATTTGGATCCCTTATTTCTGACAGGTTCTTCAACTAACAATCTCCTTCTTGGTCAGACTAAACAACGTTTTCAATAAATAATAATAATAGTAAAAATCACAAGCAAATCAGACAAAGAAGGCGAAAGAAATGCTTCCCTTTTGTTACACTACTGTTTCCACAGCTTTTAAATGCAGACACCAACACAGCAGGGCCTCAAGAAAACACAGCCCTCCACTACTACCCTTTCTAAAACCTCCTTATTCAGACAAAAGGAGATCATGTGGGCAAAAAATTGTGTTTGCTATTCATACGTTTCACATGCTATAAAGTGACACTAGCAAATAACAGATTTATGAACTTGTGCTCATCAACAATCTTGAATTTCACACTCCATCTAGCTCCTTGTTTTTTTCAGTCATATACAAATAAAAAATTAAAGCTTAAAAAACATAATCACTTGAAAATTAGTTAAACTCGACAAGGAAAAATACGAACTATCCGACATCTATTAATGTATGTCAGTGTCAAATTATTTTAGAGAGACAAAATACCAAATTATTGCCTGTCAGAATATTCAGTTGTTCATTAAAGGTATTTTGTAGTAAAATAATTACAATTCTGATAAACTTCCACATATCAAGATAAAAAAATAACATTTGAAGAGAGCAGATGTACCTGTACTTGTTGGTGAATTTATTTCTTGTCTGATATTTCTACCTGCCTGGCTTCCAGACCTTGCAGTCTCCCGTTGAGGCTCGAGTATATCGCGGTATTTGGAGACCATGAGGACAGAAATGAAGTAGACGACTGCCAAAGCTAAGAACTGAGCCTGCTTGCTGTCATCCTGTGGTAGAGAGAAGGGAACACACCTGTAAGACTGGATGCTGGCATTGAATTTTCACATCAGTTTATCAGGAAGCTGTATAATGGTCATTTTTTGAGGTAATTTTTAAACAATATCAGATGGATTACACAGAAGACAATGCATTTTCAGTGGAGTTTATGCATATAGCACACAAGAGGCACATCCATAGGCAATATACCACACAGTCATACTAAGGACTGAATCTTACAGGCATGTGGTGATTGCAGGCATCGCTAGGACTGTAAAGGCACAGAGTAGGGGCCTGATTCTACTCTTCTGTGAAAACACGTTCAAGCTTTCTCAGCAGGGAAGACAATATTTTTGCTGCCCCAGGCACAAAAATCCCCCAGCTTCCCCCACAAGGAGCTGGAGGGTATTTCTGAGGGGGAAAACTGGGCTGAGGGAGCTGTTTCAGCTAACACTGGCTGCAGTGGCAGGCAAATGTGTTCTGGCAACAAGGAGGCAGGAGGGCTGCGAACATCATCTTTCCCCCAGCAGAAAATCCCAGCTCAGAAGTACTGACTTCTCCTCCAGCTGGATCTGGGGCAGCAACCCTACTGTTCAAGGGGTCTGATATAAGTAAAGTAAATCCCAAGACTTCTTTTCTTTCCATCTCATATAGTCTGCTGGTCTATGGCAAATATTTATTTTCCTTACGCTTAGATGTGGTTCTGATTGTGCTTAAGTTGCTGTAATCCAGTGGAAATGTATTTTTTTTATTATAATATAAAACCAGCAGGGTGAGAAATAAGCCTTCATTATCTATTTACTTGTATAATGTTTTTGCATCGTCTTAGGGTCACAAATACGCTACTATCAATCCAGTGTTTGCTCTCCATGTTCCTCTGGATGTTGTTTAATTTGCCTAAATAACCCTTTAAAATAACCATAAATCATCTTTTCACTATTCTCTACTTTATTCTGATCAGGTTATCCTGACAGATAAATTCTCTTTGTCACAAATGGTACTTTTTTTCTGACATAAATGACTCCTAACTTCAGTTTACATTTAATTTCACTTAAATTTAGGTTAGAAAATCTAATCTTTAAAGCACTATTTGCATATATATATAAACACATATATGTATAAAGCAGTACCACAGGAATTACGTTGTGTGTGTATGCGTTTGTATATATATAGACACACACACATACACACACACACACACAAAGTACTTCTTATTGTACTGCTTTCAAAAGCAAACGCATTGCGGCATGGTCTTGTCCTAAAAACAAGGTTTGTTGCAGACAAACCTAAACAACAACTGTTTTTTTGCAAATAGATTTGTATACTTATATATTTGTCTTTAGCAGCAGTAAAAATTGACATTACAAACCAATTTGCTGCAGTTCTTCAATAGGTACAGTAATTCCTCCTCCAACTTTTGACAGACCAACAGCAGACACTGTTAGTAATATACTTTCAATCAGTATTTGTTATGGCTACGATTATTTGGTTAAAATGAAGTCTGACTGTATAGCGCAGTTATACCTACTAATCTCAAACTTGAAAGTTCATTTATTTAAATTTAATTTTAAAGTACAAAAAGTGGCCAGGAGCTACAAAGCCATGAGTATTTGGCTTTCCAGATATAATACAAAGTGAAGATATTTTTATTTCATGATATCTTTATTTTGTTTCATTTCTTCATTTATTACATGAAGATATTTTTAACTCTGGTAGAATCAAAATCTCTTTCAAATATAAGCAACGATTTTGCAGAAAGAAGAACTATAGCACATATTACTCACCACATCACGAAAAACAACTGCTCGTAGACGATTGATATCGACATCCTGAAGGAGTCTATCAGGATCCTTTATAGGAGAAAGATTGCCAGGGACATTTTCAAGGGGGTTCTATAATTAAAAAGTTGTGAGATTTTTTTTCCCCCAAATATCATAATTGAAAACATGTATTTTAAAACCTTAATTTGACAGCTTTCTTACCAATTTTAAATGTTTTTTTTACTACTAGGCTACTTCTAATATAACGCTTCCAGTGTACACATGCAAGGGTTCCCCAAATACAGAAACATTCGGTTATTTTTTAACGATATTTACACAGATATAAATTGGTACATCTTGCCAATACATCAGAAAAATTTTCTCTCTTCCAAGAAGTTAATGTACTGATTTGCACACAAAAAGTTACTTCTGATTATAGCTTTTACAGTACAATAAAGCATTTCTAATGAGCATTAAATTTAAGAACTATGAGCAGAATATTGTCAAAAATACCTCCTTTTCATTTTACTCTGAGAGTTATCACTACAGACTAATTACAGTAGTGTGCTCTAAAAAATGACAATACAGTACAAATGGTGCTGAAACATCTGAAAGTCTCCTTCGCCTTACTTGCTATGCGTCAAATCTGAAAAGTGAAGTAATATCGAATTTTCATGAGATTTAATGAAATAATATTGTCAATGTAGTGAGTTTATAACTACTACCTGAAAAAAAAGTGTTAGAGAAGAAGCTACAGTTAGCAATAAAAATACAGTAGGAAAAAAAAGTGATTATTATGTTTATATGTCATCCTTTAGACACAGGCTGTGATTTTAGCTTAAAGCCCCAATTTCAAGAAGTTGTCAACAAGTTTGAGAAAATTAAAAGATGGGGAATGAAGTAATGAAACTGGCAAGACTAAGCAGTAAGTGCTTGTTGAACTTGCTAAGGAGGGTTCATTTTTAAAATCAGATTGAAAATACTGATCTCTTCTAGGTATGTGAAGTTCTACTGAACGTACAAGGGCTCAGATGTTCCACTTACAAAAACATAATTGCAGAATTTTATCAGAATTGCAGGTGTCTTGGGAGAGTAAAAAATGATGCAGATAAATAGGGCGAGATGTGAAGGAGCTGACCAGCTGAAGTAGACCTGGCAGGAGCGACAGTTCTTGAAAGCAGCTCCAGTCATACTTTTGTATTAACATTTTCTTGTTGCAAAACAAAAAATAAGCAAGCAAAAAAAAAATCATCTTATGTCAGCTAACAGCAAAAAACTGGCTTACCTTGGTTGTTGCTGATGCAGTGACACCCTGAAGAGTCTCTTGAGTTTTACTGCTGACGAGCGAAGTCTTGTTCACTCTCTCTCTCTGCCTTTGCCGACACTCCAAGCAGTTTCTCACAGCCACACAGCACACTAAAAAGGAGATATAAAATGCAAAACAGGGTATTTTCTTACATTTATGTTCAGGATATCAATTATTCATTCAACTCTACTCCAATATATCAATCACCATGCCCAAACAGTAACTGTAATACAGATCTCACCTTAGACCTTCTGTCGAGCACTAGAAGCACCTTACAGTGACTTTCTTATTTCATTCATTTAGTTGAACAATTTATGTTTTCTACAGCTGAAATAATGACAGATTAAAATTTGGAAATGGAACACTGGTCCCTGAAATAGAGTTCTACTATCTTGCCCATCAGTTATCAACCCTTAACATCATGAAAGTACTTTTGTATCGCTAGAATTTCATTTAGAGTTCTATGGTTAGAATAGGAAAAATAGTAGGAATAATTTATGATGAAAAATGATCATTGAGGATAAACCACAGGTTTTACTAGAGTTCTATGGTTAGAATAGGAAAAAATAGTAGGAATAATCTATGATGAAAAATGATCATTCCTCAATGTAAAAACCACAGGTTTTATACTAATTAGTTTTATACTAATAATATTAATAATCCAATAGGTGGCATGAGTTATTGTAAGACAAAACTGAAATATATAACTGAAAAATTACTCAGCACGAAGGTAGAAAGTGTGTGGGATGTAGCAGTTGAGAAAGTTCATTACGATGACAGATCGAATTAAATGTTCACAAGTACTAAAGCCATGTAGGTTGAGCAGAATAGCCTAAATTATTCTATAACCTTTAAATGTCCTAACTTAATTGCAACTGTACATCCACCGAAGATCTTGACCTGAGCTTTATACAATTCAGAGAATTTCCGTTCAGTCCAACTGGCAGGGGAAAAGCAGTGAAGAACAACACATCTACCTAAGTCAATTCAAAATGTTCACGTCTCAAACAATCTTCTCACTGAACCACAAGCTATACAACTGCACAACTCTAACAGGCAAAGTATATATAGAATATAATATACAATAAAGTAAATAGCAAAGTTGGGTGCTAGGTCTGTTGCAACCTACGCTGGGGGCCGCCAAGCCTGCAGAAACATTCCAAGCTTTTAATCATCTCACATAGCCCTGAGCTAGCCCACTGAATCGACGGAGACTCGGATAAGGAATTTTGCAAAAGGTGTGTAGCAGAACAATTCTAGGAAGAATGTTTGTTATCTTTTACCTTTCTTTCATATTTTTACTCCTTAAAAAGGATGTACAACTTGAAGAACATAAGCAAATAAGTAAGAACAATTTGGACATGTCATTTTAATCCATTTTTATGTCAGAACAGAATCAACCTTCCCAAAGTATCAGGTCAGTACTAACTTGGGGGGTTTTGATCTTTCACAATGTAATCAGTACAAGGTCACTTCTCGCATGTGTCATTACTCAGTCTAGCTTTAGCTCCCTGATCTGTAGGCAACTATTTAAGCACACTGTCTGCAGACTTACCAAGCCTTAGGCACTGTCGCATTAAACCTCCCGAAGACATGTTTTTTTCAGCTTCAATCTCACTGAAGTTTAGAGAACTGGCAAATACCAGTACATCAACCATTGCCATCAGACGGCTGAGAAAAGTCACTGCTGTCTCTGCTGACATTCCTTGTGTCACTTCAATATTTTCCAATTCCGTCTTTAAAAGGAGATAGTTCAATTAAACATTGTTTGAAAACAAATTAAATCTAAAGGCATCACATACACACTAAAATCTAAATTGTTACATTTAATGGTAGATTAAATACATGAAAAAGTTATTAAAAATCTCCTATTATTTCCATTAGCACAGATTATGAATGAAATTCAAAATAAGACAGCATGAAGAGTGAGAAAAAATGTTTGCATTCACATGCTTTTTTAGAGAATAAAAAGAATTTGATATAAATGAGAAAATTACTAGCAAATACGTAACAAGAAGTGTGGCCAGCTAGTAAAACTGGGCAAGGTATAGCTGGGAACTAGGTTCTCTTACGTTCTTCCACAGGCTAAGCAAACTGATGGCACATTGGCAGCACATTAGGATAATTACACTTTGTCCTACAGTCCTTTACACAAATAACAGATAAAATGGAGACTGGCCTCCACTTAAGCAGTTTGGCTCTGCTTCCACAATTCGTTTTTCCCCTGGGAATGCCCTATAGCCCCCTGACAGAGTTCAGTTCTGGAAACCAGAAGTCAGTGTGTTTATTCACTAGAGTGACAAGGAGGAAGTAAAAATGTGACATTATGGCATGCACCGCACTTTACATTTCCCACAGAATCACCATTTTCTTTCTATGCAGTGCTGTAACTCCCAACAGGAATCCACCAAAAAAATGGTGAACGAACTCATTATTTCGGGACTCTAAAAATGGGTCACATTCTCCAAAAAGATACTTGAATGTGTAGAGACATTTCAAAAGCATTTAGGTGTCTAACGATGCAGATAACTGAGTAAACAGTATGTTTAATTAAAAAAAAAAATTTGTATCTAACCCTTACTTTTACCTCTGGAGCTATTCACAGTTATGAACTGGATTTCTTACTTGACCGTGGCATTTGTGATTAGTATTTGACATAACATTTGTACGCCTAAATACTATTTTAAAAAATCTGCAGATGGCTGATTCTTATGGATTATCAGCAGGATTTCAGATCCTAAGCCTCTTTTGAACAGAGTTCAGTTACTTTGTATTACTTATTACTCATACTGTATTACATGTATTATTTGCAGCATTGCTTATTACTTAAAAATATTACTTTCATTTTTCTTAATTCCCATTCTATTGTTCTGTGAAAAAAGTTTAAAATACATTTTGTGCTGTAAAGGAAATTTCTTTAAAAATAAAAGGGAAAAAATAACCCCCCTTGGTTTCTCTCTTACTAGCAAACGCTTATTCTCACTCAAGAGTTACTTTTTAGGATAGTTCAGATCATAACATATCATCAGTGCAAACAGTGCCAAACAGTATTAAGAAAACAACTGTTGCGCAAAGTGCCAGACAACGTGGCACGTGTCACCCCAATGACACTCCATGTAACTTCCCATGGGGATGCAACGTGTCAGCGACGCGGGTGACGTGGGAAGGGCTGTCACCCGCCAGATCTGCCAGCACGACCAGACAAACTGTAAAAGGACAATTAAACCTCACGAGAACAACTCCTAGCTTCTCCTTAGGCACATCCTCTCCATTTTGCGTGCGCTGTTTTCTTACTTTTTGGAAACGTTGTTGTTGTTCATAACAGATTGGGACATAACTCCGAAAAGCATTTTTCCAAAGACAATAACACTGCAAGGCTCTAGGGCGCATGGCCTGCTAGCAAAGCCTCGAGAAGGTGGTTACAGAAACTGCTACTTGGAGCTCCTCCTTGTAACGGGAGCAGATTCCTCCCGAGCAGCAGCTGTGCTGCATCAATCCCACCCATGTGAGGGGGAATGACTTCTGCAGCCTTCTCAGCATACTCATTATTTTATTTTTCCCATGTTATAAATTTATTTATATAATGAATTTATTCTGTATTACATTTTAGTGTATTTTATCATTTTTATAATTTTTATCATTAACATAAAATACTGTATATTTTGAATACAAGTTTTGAATACAAAAAAAAATCAGCATCTCTTCTTTTTTTTTTTTAAATCATCCTACAATTCTGCTGGGAGAGAAAAGAAATGAAGACAGGCATTTTTATGGCAAAACTTACCATCGGTTCTACCTGATAAATACAGCAAATTGATATCCTAACAGCATTTAAAGTAGGTTTCCTTGTTGATCAAGATTCCTTGAGATATTAGCAATATTTTACACTGATGTGATCTAAAAATGCTTAAATAAAACGCACTGATCAACATCCCATGTCTACTCTAAACATTTTTAAGAGTGATAAGAAGTCTCCTACAGAACTACGTGTTCAGAGTCTAACATCTTCTTTTACTGACAACTGCATCTATAATTTAAATTAGCTCTTCAATCTGACTACACTTTTGTAGGTTACAGCAGGGATTACACTCGACTGTGGTAAGTCATTGAAGGGGAACATTTTAGGAAAAATTAAGAAATATGCCTGATATATTGCTACTCACATCCTACTCTATGGCATAGAAAATAAATTAAAAAGCCAAAATATTAAATTATGAAAAATAAGAAATTTTTGAAAATGCAAAAACTGAAACTTACAGCAGCAATACTAACCTTAGAACCCTGGACATGCAACAGACAAAACAGACAACAGATCACAACAATAAAAGAAAAAGAAAATTATTTAAGTTAACTAAAAATACAATGTAAAATTGAAACAAATTAGTATCTTGGAATTATATACTGATTAATTTATAATTAGAACAACATGACATTTCATCTTAGAATGAACATTTGAAAATAAAAACTTCTACAGATAGCTATGCACAAGAAAGGAAAAACCATAAATCTTGAATTGCTTTGGAGTTCATGTAAACACTGATTCCTCCAAACCGAAGGACATATTTTGTATAGTCCATAGAGCAATTCTGTGAGGCAATTTTGTAGACCAAAGTAGTGTTTTCACTGATTATGTAAGTCATAGAAAGAAAACGAGCATTTTACAACAAACTATTCAGCTGAAATGTAATCAAGTAGTTAATCTTTGTTTGAGGAAGCAAATGTGTTTGAAGTGCTTTGACAAACAAATGAAAATCACACAAAGCCAGCTGGTTCTTCCTGCAGAATGCTCCTTCATCCGAAGGAACACGACATAGCTCATTCCATAGTTACATCTGGGCAGGATTTCCTCAGCCCAAGCCAAAACATGACAGGTACTGGAATGCTTTGGGACCACAGAATTATCAAGTCTCTGGGATAGGCTAGTCCTCAAATTCTGATATTCTCAGTCAAACAATTGCATTAAACTTCATGTTTTCATTTTGGGTAGGATGACCTTCTTTTTTGCTACAACGCGCTTGAAACTAGTCCTTCAGTTTTCACTTTTTTTTTTTATGTAAAACCTGAGTTAGTAAAAAGAAATGTTTTGTCTCTACTATCTTGGAAAGAAGAAAGAAGAACATGATATCTATCACTAACTTATCACTCTTTAGTACTTAAAATAATTGTAATATTTCACTCTTTAAAACTACCAAATATCTTCAATATATTTGATGATAAAATCACAGAAAAAAAAATGGGACAGAAATGATTTTCTTTTCAGGAATATTTCAGTATTTTTGTAATTTTAATAATGGAAAAATCTTATCTGAAGAAAAGAAATCTGAGACAAAGTAATCTCCTTTTGGAACAGAAAAGATTACTTTTTACAGAGCACAGACCATTTTTAATAGATCTTCCTCTTCCATAGCTGGAGACATTATAACCTGTTTTAAAAACCTGTGATTTTTGATATACAGATACTCATATAACACCGGCAGCATTAACTACCTAGACTAAAATTCTAGACTTCATAGAATCAATGGCAAAACAAATTAATTTCAGGGAGCCCAGAAATTTACCCTCAATTTCCAGAGTTATTTCAGCTCCTCAAACAGCTCCTCCTTTGTCAAACTCTGCAGCAAGTCCTTGTCACAGCTGCTGTTCCTCGTAGTAACGAAACATTATTTCAGATTCCTAGTTTGTACACGAGGTGTTTTATCTGCAACCAGCTGCTGCTCCTGACAGAAGGTATCTCCTGAGAACCTTAATCCTTCCAATTTCCCAGATAGACTTCTTTCACACCTCTACACTATCTTAAGATAAGTCTTTCTTGTAGTTTAGAAAACTCAAAGCTCTCCCCCACAGATACAAAGTAAATCTGTACTGGGTGCTTTATAAAATTACTGCCCCCATAATTCTGGCAGTTATGTAATACCCTCAATTTAACAATCACAACACCAGAATCAACAGCGGAACATCCTGCAGCTTATTGTAAAGCAACAGACTTGCCTGTATGTCTCGTTATCATTTGCTTGTATTTCATTTCTTTTCACATGTATAATTTATATCTCTTAAAAATATCAGCATTTGAGGGAAGTCCTCACACAGACTCTGAGACGGAGGAGGTATATATTTGAAACCAAAGGGAATACTGAAACTTTGAGAATAGATTTCAGAGAATTACAGCAAGTTTCCTCAGTATTCCATAAAAAATGATAATCTTCACCCTACCCAAGTCAATCACAAATTTTGTTTGTTTTCACAGATACTGCTGCAGGCTATATGCACGAAAAAATAGGGTTTTTTTTTCCTTCTCCCTATGCCTATTTGATATTCTATATTCACAGCACTATTCAAATTATCTTTTTTAATCTGCAACGTATTCGTAATACATTCCGACTTTGCTCTGAAGAAATTCAACCCTATCTAGTCTAATAAAATATAACAATTTCCTCTCATTCATATAAATATTTTGTAAGTTATATAAATTATATTATACTCTGAAATCTAAAACATTTGAGATAAACAGCTACCCAACTTTTCAAGACAGATTTCAGTATTTCCAGAATTTTTTAAAACAGTAGTTACTGACGAAGGCCTCAAGGGTTTGTTTGTTTGTTTATTTATTTGCAGTAACAGCAGCAAACTACTAGAAATTTCAGCTACTTTCTTTAATGGCTAGAAATGGTCAACTGACGACACATGGCTACTAATATAAGGAATATTCTTTAAAAGACAGGGGAAAAAAGCTAGTTAAAAGGCACCTGACAGAGTTCCACCGAACACACTCGAGGAATTCCGGAATTAAGGTGACCCATTGCACAGCAGACAAAGGATACACAAAGTAATTTTCTAGCCAGACAGAAAAATTGTCATCTTGATAACAAATCCTAACTATGCAAAGGAAGAAGTCTTATTTACCTGGATAATTCCCCCAAGTCTTCTTTTTAAAAAAAAAAAAAAAAAAGTACAAGTGCTCCTCTTTCACACTTTCATTGCAGTTGATTTCTGGTATGTCTCTACATTTAAAAATGATTACCAAAAATGGTTTGAGGAAAATTTATCTTAGGCTGTTGATGAAAACACTTGATTCACTAGCTACAACACAAAATTTTGACTCTGTATCTTGTGGGAAGAAATAATTCATTAATATAATTTAACTTTGCCATTCTTGAAGAGACCAGACAGCACTGCACTACTATCAGTGTGTGAGAGATCTGCTCACAACACACATTAACTGCCAGGCCCCAAGGGTCTCTCTGGGCTGATGGGCTGCAGTTTATGCAGCAATACAGAAATTTGAGTAAGCAAGCTAACACTCTATTAACACTCTTTTAAAGCATTTAGCATTTTAAGAGCTAGAGAGGGGGTACAGACTATCATGTTTGGTGGCTACTTAAAGACTTATCCTTCCAGAGTTTATCTATTTTTTGAATCTACTTAGTCTTTCAGCTTCCATCACATCCTATGGCAGGGAGTCTCACAAAATAATTGTGCTCCTTCAAAGGACTTCTGCTTTTTTCTTTTGTTTCTAAGCCTGCTGCGAAGTACAGAGTCATTATATGCCTTACCATACAGGCTATGAAAAGAAACATTCGTCGTTTTTTCCCTTCATCTCCATATCACTCAGGAAATGGCTATAACAAGAAAATGAGCTTATATTGCTAATAATATTTCTAGTCTCCAGCGCTTACTGGCTGTGTTATTTTAGGGGAGTCTATTCACTCCTCCTGTGCCTCAGTCTTCCCCTTTCAAAAACAAATATTAACTGTGAAACCTTATGGGATGTTTAGCACAGAAGAGGTGACTGTCTATTTTATACGGCCAGATAAGGCACCATACAAAAATGATAAATTACTTATTGACAATAGCGCGATATACACTCTCTCTCCCTTACATCTCCCTCTCAAATCTCTCCCTCTTCTTTCATGAACCATTCCTTTAGATTAATTTACCTGCCTGAGCTGCAGTCACCTAAGAAGTGACCACATGGCAGAGGATAAAATTATCAGTTTCCTTCCATAAGAGCTAAGGAAAAGTCAGGACCTCCTGAAGGAAGGACTAGTGAGAAGGAGGGAAGAGAAGAGTGACTTCTCTTATCATTTGGCATGCAAATGGTGGCCATGCAGACCTCAAACACCAATGACCAGGCATGATAAAGCACGTAATTTTGCTACAGGAACCATTTTTCTAACAGTCTTGTCTTTCAAATACTACAAATTATTATAAACACTCTGTATAATGAACCTTAAAAGTTCTGATCAATTTTTTTTTATCTTTTTTTTTTTAAAGAAATTAGCAGACAGGGGAGGGGAGTCACTTTCAAAAAAAAAAAGGCAGTTTCAAACAGTGGCACATATTGTTTTTATACAGCAACTTCTAATATGACCACTAGGTGGAAATATTGTACTTACAGTTGGGGATGTGGCTGCTGACAGCAATGGTAAAATTCCTCCACAAGCAATAATAATATTGTCTACCATCTGGGAAATGAGGTGTATTGTGTTGTGTACAAAAATAATATTTTCATTGCTATTGACAAAGTCCATCACAGACTTTGTGGAGTGACTGCAAGAACAGAAAAATGGATGAATTAAAAACAAACATACAAAATGAAAATCTAAATTATTCTTTGCAGCCAGAACATGAATATTTTTCAGAAACAAAGCAAAGCCTTTGCTATGAAACTCTGCATGTGTAAAAATATAAACAGAGCTAGTCTAATGTACAAATTTACAGCTAGCCCGTTGCAGAGCAGCATCAGCTTCAGCTGCTCAGCCCAGAACAGCAGCACTTCAATTTGCAGGCAATTCTCCTCAAAAGAACAGGGCTGTTTCTCCAGGGACAGTTCATACTCAGTACGAATGGAGTTCTCCATATCACAGTGTCACTGAAAGCTGCCCTGATAACACTTAAGGAAAGTGCGCAGGTGTTCCTGGATTTGGTGTTTTCGTTCTGTCATTCCTACAGCCTGGTCTCTTAGACTGCTACTGATCATGGAAACCTTACGCTGGTGTCTTAAAAGAGCAACCTGAGCATCTGGTGGTACCTTATTTACATCTAGCAAGTTTTTATATGAGAAAGCTAAAATATTTACTAATATTTCCTAATGCTAAGATACTTCCCGAATATTAACTTTAAAGCATTAGCAATAGCTTTACACGGTTGCTGATATGTGGTTAATGGGAACCTCAGTTACTCCATAGTGGTGAGAAATTGTTCCATGAAACAATCACTCCCTAAAAACATAAATCACAATGTGAGAATAACGTGGAATATTCGGCCTACAAATGATATGGGTTTGTTTTGTTTTTCCAAAACAACATTGTTACCAGCAAGTAAGAAAAAATCAAAGGCTTAAACTGAAACAAGGAAACTAAACTCCTAATCTCCAAGTATCATGAAAACAGAATGCAAGTAAAAGATGTTTGAGAAAACAAAACTAAAACTGTGTATTTCCTAGTGTCTATCACAGAATAGCTCATGAAACTGGAAATTAAATGTAATATAAATTGGTCTTTTGATAATATAATTAAGCTGAAGTTTTCGGACTTAGTCTGTTTTGGAATTTAGAGTAAACAATGTCTATTATACCTAAGGGCTCTGATAACAAAAAGTTTTTGTGCAAATAAATAGGATAGTAATAGCAAATAAATAGTGCTGTCAAAAGTAGCAACATAACTGCACGGCTAACTACAGTCAGGAGTTGGCCTTGGAAATTATCTGCTAGAAAAAGTAATTTCTTAGAAAACTTTCTAGGAAACAGTTTTTATTTATATTTATTTGTAGGACTGTATAGAATGTATTTCTTAATTAAACTATCTGAAAGAGAGGCAAGTTACAGATCCACAGACTTCCTCAGGTCTGAAACAGAAGCAGCAGCTTCTCATGTTAAATACAAGCTGGGACTGCAGCTCAGTTCAGGTAGGTATGAGCTACAGTCTCTGAGGAAAGCAGAAATTGCTGCCTGTAAAATAGAGGTGCTGCTGATTGGGAAGGGCTAAGAGAGAAGATAGAAGATACAGAAGGACCCTTCACCTCACAGTAACTCTCTCCCCTTCCCTGCGATCTCAGTTAACTCCCCTGTACAACATAGGGGCCATCTATTTTTTCCTGCCAACGGGAACACACAACAGGAGTTAAATAAAAAGCAACCATCTACCTTCTCCAAACATGTACATCTGTTTCTAGTGCAAACAGCAAATCTGTCAGGAGCCTCTGGTGCATGGGAGACCACTTGAACTCAGGAATACGAAACATAGTTGTGCGTGGCCCCGGGCTGAACTGCCGCCGCTGCTCCTCGGTCATGGGCATTCCTCGAAAGCCCAGGTCCACGCGCAGGTCTCGGTCCTGTTGGCTGACAGAGCGACCCTGCACCGCCTGTGGCAAGCACAACGTCAAAGATCCTGTTAACACTGTGTAAAGCTTCTCGGAATGGACAACGGAATTTCAGAAAGGATTGGCTAAAATCCAACTCAAGCACAAATGACAGAAAATAGTGTCATTCCAGCGTGGGTAATATCAGTCAACACAGGAAATGCTCCAAATCAATCAGCATTTGGTGCCTGTGGTTTGCCCCACTTTCAGATACTTCCTCAGGCCTTACACTTAGGTTCCTCACTCCAAATATTACAGGAGAGATCATATGCTGCATATAGAAGGGCAACAGCAACAAGATTTTTTCCTTACACTGATCCTATCTTACATTGATGGGATAAAAGTTTCTTACGGTTTACATACGATTTTAATCCTAACAGATAATTACATGCTTCATAACCTTACATTCTTATAAGTCAATCATTACTTATGAAATTCATAAAACAAAAAAGGCTAAGGGACAGCCAGGCTCCAAATTACAATGGCAGGATGTTATATGGTAGCAGGACATAGTTGGATCACTTTTTCATTGTAAGTCTCACCTTACAAATTCACTGTATTTGTGTGTGCATAGGTGTACATAGCAAGTGAATACAGGCATTTCACTTGCTTTTAAGCTGTGTATTTTGAAACACAAACTATTTGCTCCTTTTTCTTACTCTGCTCTTTTCAGGCCCATTTATCAGTTTCCATGGTATGAACCAGGCCTAATTTTATGATTGAGGACAAAGTGTTTGGGAACTGATAGTAACAAATATACTGTCCCTCTCAATAGTTTTAGTTGATTATTCTTTATTACACAGAATGCTTTTAAATATAAGAATCCCCATACAATGCTTGATATTCTGTCTAGGGAGGATGTTCTCAAGTTTGAAAGCATACTTATAAAAGAATCAAAAATTTCATCCTATCTAAGTAGGTATTATAGAGTTTGAGGCACTATTATCTTCAAAAGAAGAGTGTTTAGAACAATGTTAGAACCCACTAGTTTGAATAATTATTTCTTTTTTCTTAATAGGAAAAGAATGTGCATTGGAACTCAGGAAGTGTTTAGAACAATGTTAGAACCCACTGGTTTGAATAATTTTTTTTTCTTTAATAGGAAAACAATGTGCATTGGAATTCAGGGATTCCTTAAATACATGAAATTACATTTACTAGAGCTTTCTGAAAGTTCTTCCTGAAAACACAATGTGGCTAAGCTGATCCGTGTTCTTTTTATCAGACATCAACTTTGCATGTCAGGGGATCTTAGAAATCCTTTCTGATCACATAGTGTGCACTACATGGTATTAGGAAGAGCAATTTTTGTAGCACTGGCTCTTCCATCACAGATTCAGAAACTCTGCTTGACTTCAGAACTGTAGATCAATATTAGTCCAGTAGTAAGGTAGTCAAATCTTACGGTAGCCACTTTATTTTCAGCTAACAACATCCTTACAAGCAATTTTTGACTAAGTGCTATAGACTCTGAATAATGATAGCGGGGAAATCAATTCTGTGCTTCAAAAATACAAAAAGAATAATTTATTTTATTGCTTAAACAAAGCACAGACTCTTTGAAAAAAAATAAGCTTTTATGCTACACTTTTCCATTTTAAGAATGTTGTGTCTTTCACAAAGACATTAAGTAGCAGGATTTTCAGAGACAGCCCTTGACAGAAAAGCATCTCTGAGAAGAAAGTAGATTTCTTTTAGTTAAGATCTCCATTCTGGAAAGTAAATCACAGTTTTTCATCTACTATTCCTAAGCCATTTCTTTCCTTGTGTCCAGAGCGAGTAATATGGGAATCATTTATGCCTGGGTTCCTTCATTGGGAGATGTATTGATGCACTGAAGTGCTGCAAGTCAAATTACATTCTGTTGAGAGTAATGCAAGAGTAAAAAATACCTAATAAATAACAAAACATAGATAATATTAATCTTTAAAAAATATGTAAACAAGATCCTCAAGAGCTAAAGCACTACTATAAGAGCATTTGTTAATCTGTCCACAAGAAACAAGGGAAAAAGATGAGGGGTTTCCTTAGCTAAGTTTTTAAACTAAAACATACACAATTGCAACATATATTTCTATACCGCCATAAAAGACTTCAGCACCTCTTACACAGGTAATGGCATCATCCTTCTGAAAGCAAACAGGCTCGGAAGAGAGACTCCTCTCAGGTAACTGAAGTACCTGGAGTACCTGCCAGACTTGGCACTAATAATGCAGCCAGCAGCAAAGAACACTCCTTACATTAGACACATACAAGGCTAAGGCTACAGCACTTGGCACTTACTTGGGTTGTGGTGGTTGTCTGGATCTTTCTTATCTCCTTTCCCGCTTCCTTACCATCATCAGATCTCTCTGTGTCTGATATTATACTTCCAGCATCAACACTAGGTACCGTTTTGCTACCAGAAGACTCTGTCTCAAGAGTTGTGGCCGTCATTTCAGCATATTCTAATCCTTTAGATGACGAAGCCAGTTCCCTCTCAGAAATGCTATTCATTCCGTCCGAGGTTGTATGAATCTTGAACTCCTTTTCCTCTATTATACTTGCAGGACACGTTCTCTCTACGTTACCTGTCATGTGCGCAAGCAATTCCAAATCATCATTTACACCAAGATGTATTTGTGTCTCTTGCACATTTGGAATAGAAATGTGATTACTTGAAAGTTCAGGTAAAAGCTTCTCCTCTTGACTGGGTATTTTATCAAAGAGAAATGAGGTACTGTTAGTAGAAGGTTCATCTTTCTCATCAGCTAGAGTTATTAATGGACCATTATCTTTTTCCTCATTCTTCTTAATAATACCAACACTTCCATGAACATTATTTTGGAGTTTCTCAACAGCAGCACTATATACATTATCTAAAAGAGATTCAACTTCCACAAGTGCACCGTTTTCTCCCGTTACCAGTGTCTCTGGTGATAAATCCATATCATCAAGTTTTACTTCAGTAGCTTCTACCTTTTCAGCTTTTATATCAACTAAAAGGTCATGAACTTCCACATGTACTGTTGTATTATGTAAAAAAACAAGAGGCAACAGATGGGTTAAAAAAGGTGGGTTTTTTTTTACATTAAGCCTGAGCAAAAAAAAAAAAAAAAAGGTAAGAATCTTAACTATGTAATACTTAACATATATGGCTCAGAGAGTGTTTCACAGCAAATGGCCCACCCTGGTGACAAAAAATGCTACCTTGACATATGCTCTGATAGCCACCAGATGGCACTAAATCACTTTTAATCTTGCCCACTTTATTTCTAGTTACTTTGGAGGAGTTTTTAAGATAACAAATAAAATAAAATAAAATAAAATAAAATAAAATAAAATAAAATAAATCCATGAACCATTTCTTACCTTGGAATGAGCTATAGAAAGAGTATCAACCCACACTCTCCATCCTCCCCATTCATATTTTATTGCATGATACAGGAGAATACGGAAAATGTTGTAAACCATCTCTGTAATCTTCTGTTCTTCAGAGTTCTTAGGGTTAATGTATCCCAGAGAAAACATCCAGTCCTGCCACACTGAACACTGAAGTAAACATCTAAAGTGAAATAATTAGGTCAAAATATATTCAAATGAAGCTTCTTTGACATTGAGATGGACAGTTAAAATATGAGGAAAATAATATGGCATGCCTCTCTGAACATGAATCCAGTGTTAAGTACTGGATTCCAAGTACTTTAGGATCAGTAAAATATTTTAAAATATATTCCAACCAAAAGAAGCAAATAGTAGTTGCTAACTTAAGAAGAGATACTGAAACCATATTCTGCTTATTAAAATAAACATTTAAATGTTGTTAAATAACGTTTAACACATGTATAGAGCATTGTGCACAGTAAAACCAATTACTGCTACATCCAAGTCAAGTACATACTAGGAAGAAAATATTCTTTACAGTAACATACCTTCTGTTTTCACGGCTATTACTGAAAAGTTTTATCATATCAGATAAGAACAAACGTCGAACTTCCATCAGCTCTGCACTTGGCGTGGAGTTTTTTAACAGTGTTGCCACCACCTTTAGAATCACTTTGGAAAAAAAGATCAGTTACGTAACACATTGTAAAACTATTTGTAAAAAAAAAAAAAAAAGTTGCTAACAGCCACTAGTGTAAATAAGTGAAACCCAAGCGTATTTGGAATATTCTAACGAACTTCCCCTCTTTTTTGAAACATCATTTTCAAAACAATATAGTCAATACTCTTGCCATGTAAACAGAACAGGTCCTTACTTGGATTCTGAATTTTCACTGTAGAATCTGGCTCTGGATGTGGCTTATGAACAACTTGAGTACATACTTGTTCTGTCAAAATCTAAAAGACAGAATATTAAGTTCCATTTACCATTTTTTATTTAAACTCTACATCATACATTTTTTTTTGCTTTTGTTTATTTTGTTAAGAAGAACATTTACCATGGCTAGGCTATAACTTCATAAAATAGAATTCAGTAAAATATTTCTCTCTCTCTCTCCAAGAATGGAAACAAGGAAATTTCTCTACGCAAAGAGCAGGATACTTATAGATGTAATATCACTGGCTAACTATTTTTTCATTTAGCTGCCTAGCTGTACAATAACGGTGTTTTGAATATATGGGTTTGTGTAAGCCATACAGCACAAAATACAAAAACTCTATGTGTGACAGTTGATGTTTGAGTCAAAATGGTATTTCTTGAGGTCAAATGTTTAACAACAGGCAGAGAACTGTCCAAGATCCTATCTGAATTTCATGTTGATCTTCCACAGAAGAACAAACAAAAAGAAATAGTTTTACTTGAAACACCTATCATTTTCACAGAATCACAGGATGGTTGAGGCTGGAAGGGACCTCTAGAGATCATCTAGTCCAACCCCCTGCTCCAGCAGGGACACCCAGAGCACGTGGCACAGGGTGGCATCCAGGCGGGTTTGGAAGATCTCCAGAGAAGGAGACTCCACAACCTCTCTGGGCAGCCTGTTCCAGTGCTCTATTTTCCTAATGAAGTAATTTGTGTCACCAGAATATCCACTGCCAAATGTAATCTACTGTTGCTTGTACCACTGGTATTTGGAGGTTACAGTAAGTGAAATGATTGTAATTGCTTTAAGCAGACCACCGGTAATGCCAAATGGCTACTCCACCTCCAAGGACATGTGCTATAACACAGATGTTGAATAAAGACATCAGCTATATTTAAGAGATCCACAAGTAAAATGTCACATTTTATACCTTAAACTCAATTATGGTTAAATATACTGACAGCTAATCAGAGACTCTGGAAGCTTTCGGAAACAGCATTAAAAGTGAAGTCAATTGATTAAATTTTGCTGTGAACTGCAAATAGTTTCCTTATGAATTTCATCTGCAGAAATTGACCCAAAGCTACTTAACCACAAAGCTGGTGAAATCGATAAATTATTCAAGTTTAAGATCCATTAAGGAGTAACAGTGGCACATGTAAATAAAATACAGGCATACTTTATCAAAAAGCCTGCTTTCTGTTACTTGAGATGTTCTAGGTGTTAAGAAGGCTTTTCAAAAAGCGGAATAAAAGCAGGGCAATTGTCTCCACTGTAACAACACTTGGTATCAGTCAACCAACACGTATTTTTATCAGTAGGTAGATTAGAGTAGGTAGAGTTTTTGACATGAAAATGCTGTAGAAATTTCTAAGTATGTGGTAAGATTCTTAAAGAATTTGAAAATACTCATCACTCCTCAGAAGACTTCAGATTTAGATGTTGCATTGAGAAACATGTCACTAATAAGAACCGTCAAAAGTTAAATGAACAGCTACACATCTAAAAGAGTGAGAGTCAACATGATCTGTATGTTGCTGCATGACCTACTAAGGCCCCATCCTAAAGACTGTGTGCAGTTTCGGGCCACCAGATTTGAAGAATTGGACACAGTCCAGCAGAGGACCACATGGGTGACTGGAACACAGTGGGATAGACATCAGTGGCTCTATGCATGCTATTCTCTTTTTAAGAAAATGCTAAAAAATTACATGTTTTTTAATGTTGGATTCACGGTAAGTATACTTAAGCCAATTTATTTCATGGCAGAATCATTTCACTAGTAATTCATGTTTATTGCTAACTACAACTCTAGCTCATTTTTTAATCAATAATTAAACTAACTTCATGGGCAAATGTAGTACCTTTGAATGTGTGTTTACAAATTTTCACTGAAAAGAGAATAACCATATGAATTTGCTTTTTATGAGAGAACATGGAAAATATCTGTATCAGTCACAAATGTTTTGCACTCCTGCAGACCTCTAGCTCTTTCCTGAGTATAAGAAGCTATGATACCTGAAAATAACTTACACGTAACTTTTAATATTTTTTAGTTTCAATTCACTCCTACAAATTCTTGGTTTTCAAATAATTTTAATCCATTCTATATGGAAAAAGAGGCTTTGCAGCATCATTTGACATAATTTGTTTCGGTTTTGTTTTTTTTTTTTTAAAAAATAAGTATATCAGAAACTGTTAATATTAAGCATCAGTAAGGTTAAATATTATGCTTACCTATCCTAAGAAGATTCATGAAATCTATTCATTTTCATGAACTGAAGACATTTGGGTATTCCTTTCAGAAAGTTGCTTAGTCTCCTTAACACTTTAAATTCTCAGCAGAAAGTGGCAAGCCTTTTATTAAAAGGTCTAGCGGACCATGACCTCCAGGAGTTCAGTTATCCTGACTCAATTGTCTCTACCGGGCAAATTCATTTGCGAAGAATTTCCAAGCATTAAATGGGTGATTTGGTGGTTTTTAACCACAGCTGGAATCCCCAGCCAGTCTCCAAGCTCACACTCTATGCTGTCTTATGCTAGTTAGGATGGAAGTCTATGACCCAGTTATTAGTGGTTCAACTCCACAAAGAATAGGGAGGATGTGTAACCGGAGCCTAAATTGCTGCAAAGCTGCCCTCATCTGTGATTCACAAAACTTCAGAGAGTCTCAGGAGATGTTTAGCTGTTTCCCTATTCAGTTCATAACTGTCTTTTGTAAACTCATGTTTTACATGATTATTTGGCTAGGTCTTTCAAACAGGCTTATTTAGTCTCTTGGAATCATAAAGAAAGAAACTGCGCTCCTCCTGAAACGAAGATAGATGGTAAAACATGGTAGGAGAGAAGACTATGACTGCCTTTAAGGAGAGGATCAAGGAAAGTAGGTCACCCTAGACATACCTTGGAAAAGCAGAGTCAACATAAGGGTTAACATTTGTCAGACAGAGGCTTAAGGAATATCTTACTCTGAGGGGACTCTACGGCATGGGACCTAACCAGGGAATGTCTACAACATGGGTGGGAGAGACAGCAGCAGTGCTTTCAAAGATATGATATTTAGTAAGTTACTACTCTTTGCTCAGAGACACAAATCTCTTAAAATACCTACACATATGTAGATATATGGACACACATACATATCTCCATGGTTTTTCTTTACAAATAATGGAAGAGCAAGCAAGTGCCTGACTGAGGTAACTTTTTTTTTTGGAGGGTGAAGAACATCTCAAATAGCAGAGTGTTTTCTATCTCCTTTTATAACAGATGGAAAGTTTTACAGCAAACTCGCGTAAAGTATACCTTTGTTTATAAATCTACCCAAAATGTAGCAAAATAAACCCTGAACCAAGCAATCATACCTTAGAATTGCTAATTATAATTTTCTTGGGGTCTGGAGAATTACGACGTTCCCAGGACCATAAAATATAATTAAGTCATAATTTTTACAACAGAGATCATAATCTGTAGGCATAATTAAGTTGTACCTCATAAAGTGTGTTATACGTTGTGACGGTCACTGTATTTGTATGTAGCATCAATCTTTCTCCCAGCAGAGTGAAAAGACTGTGTGTGTGCATGATTTCAACCTTTCGCCTAGACAAGAAAAATACAGCAAAACACATTGAAGATTTTAAGTAGGTGCAAAAACCACAAAAGCCATATATTTTGATGTTGTACAAAGATGTTTTAAAACCTGTTACTCCTTAAATGTTACTAATCAAAAATCGTTTAACATACTACTCAGAATGAACATTGCTGTAGTACACACAAAGTTTCTCAGAATGCTATTTTATATTTATGAAGGGCTTTTGTATAAAGCACAGGAGGCATTTTTCTTATCCTACATGATTTTCATGGCAGAAAACAATAATGTAATTCCTTTCTATCCTTCTCAGGCTGAGAAAGTTCCAGATGTTGACAGGTGGCTAAGATGTGACCAGTGGAGAACACGTGGTTTGTCACCCTCTCAAGGGCTCAAGACTACTCATCCTTAGATCTTCCAAAATCTATATTAACATTTACAGAATTTATCAAAGCTGTCAAACTCTTCATACATCATTGCCTCATCCAGCCAAAGTAATTAAATCCTGGCATATTATATTTTATAAAGCAAATGAATTTAAAAAGTAGTGAAGAATTATGAAACTCCAAGAGACCGAGATGCATAAGTTAACATTGTACTGCCAGCACCAAAACCTACTAGAATCTTTAAAAAGAGAAGAAAGTGCCCCTGCAAATAGCAAACATAACATTAGTGAATTTATCTGTCCTTTAATAGTATCCTCTTTTAACTGCTTATCAGTGCTTATTGTATGTAACATTATTAAATTTATCAACTACTGTAATAAATCAGAAGGCATAGTCAAAATAACTAATAATCTACATGAAAGAGCCAAAATAACATGACTTTTACAAACTTTCATGCTTTTTTTAAAAAAGCAAAAAACTCCCTTTTCTTGTGATTACTGATTAGCAAAATTATAAAGGAATAATGAATTAATGAATAGTAGAGGTTTAAAGTGCACAGATTCATTCTAGAACTTTTGAAATGAATACACTATGATTTTCAGGGATCCACTGAGGGGTAAAAGGGAATGCTGATGAGTTACCTGTGAGAAAAACTAAAAGAACTAAAACTTGTGAGTCATGATGGAGCAACTAACATGACAAATGGAGTGGGATATGTATGCTAATTCTGCTTAAAACAAACTGAACTTTGTAGCTAGCAGATTCAACTTGCACTATTTCTAAGAAAACGTATAATGTATGAATTCTTCCAAAGAAAGGAAGAAATCTTAGTTTTCAAGATACTTGTACACAGGTATAACTAATTATTGCAAACAATATATTAATAAACACATTACACACACACACAATATTACAGATTAATGTATCTACATGTTACTGTATTTGAGATATAGTACATTCTCATGCAGGAATTTATTAAACATACATAAATAAATAATCCTCTTTCCTATTTTAGGAAGGTTTAAACATGCATATCAAAACAAACAAAATTAAATAACTCAGAGTAGAATTCCTTTTGGTGGTAGAATAAAAGAATAAGATGGCAGAGAGGGGAAAAAAGGAGGATTTTGCCACATGTTTAAGGTTAACCAAGTTACCCTTTCATCACAAGGGAAAAACAGTGAAGACATTCAACCTCTATCTAACACATGACTTGGTCTGGGAATCAGTCACCCTCACCTACAGCCTCACCTGCAAGAGTGCCTGTGAACTACAGCAGTGGTGCCTGTTGGTGTATCTCTATGTTTGCTCACTCACACTGGATCGGTGCAGACTTTTTAAACCGCATTACAGCATCTCTTTATGCAATTCTGCTTTAGTGCATCAAATCAGAACAGCAGTGGCATGCCTGTTTCTTTAGTGTCAAACACAAACCTATGCATGTCACTGGTTTACAATTTTACAATTCTCTAGCCACTTTTAATTTCCTGTGGCTGAACACAACTCCATCTTTTATTTATGTACACATATATATGTGTACAAATACATATTTCACTAGCATTATCTGTAAAATATGAAAATTAGGGGGCATTTCCAGCTGCTGTAATCTACATAAAATGTGAGCATTTACAGATGCTCCAGGGCCTGAAAAATTGAAACAAATAAATAAATAAAGTGAAAATTTCTGAACATTCAGTTCAGTGAAAGACCCAAGGCACATTCAAGTGGATTTCAACTGCTTCAATTATATGAAAAATATATTAACTCAACAATGGAATCTCTATTGATACATCCATAATTTCACTAATATATCCTAAAGATTTTAAAAATAAGATCTCAGCTTCTGAAAAACTCATTTTTATGCTTCTGTTTCTCTAGCAGAAAAATAATTTGCTACAGACTATTGCGTGAATGATGAATGTTTTTAACAAATGTACTTAACTGGACAAACAACAGGCCTCTGATCAAGGTGCCTTTTACTGTATTGGGAATAAACCTTACGTAATGCAACTCCTATGAATCCAATGGATTACATTTGAAAAGCCCTTTGAGATTCTTGAGTGGATTGTGAATTTGCTGTAGTATTTCCCAGAACACTATTTGGCTTACCACATCCCGAAAGCAAACACCCATTGGGGAGCATGTTCTAAGCTGACTGCTTCTCAATTATGCAGCCATACTTTATTGATCTCACTGGAAAAAAGGGCACTACACTTTACAGCAACACTCTGGCTGGGCTCCGAGCGCCTCTCTCTCGTAACGAGGTTTTACACGATGAAGTCTCTCTGCCATGAAGTGCACTGCTAATTTCACGCTGTGGAGTCTCCAACTGGAAAATCCACACAGAAGTGGCGCCGTGGGGAGGCGCATGTAACCGAGACTGCACGCGTCTCCGTTCTTCCTTAGCACCAAATAATGGGAGATCAGACTAAGTCCATGAATTTTGTTATGCTGGTTCATTCTAAACGTGACTCTTTCTTTTAAGAGTTAACTTTGAGCATATTATGCATTTGACATACAATCATTATTTAATTTCAAATGTCATAGTAGTAACAAGTTAACTAGCACATGAATCATTTTATCCCAATGCAATTATGGTAACAGAATCTGCAAATTATCAACCAGAAAATAAAACATTATAGGGAGTTCCTAAAGACTATCATACAATATAGTGATAAGCACAAAAGGACAAGAATTATGAACTTTAATATATCAATGTAATAATTTTTAAACAATACTTACTTATGACCCAAATGTTTAAGAAAATATCCAAGGACCTTCAAGGCTTGCACCCATATACTCTCACTTTTGGAAGCCAGCAGTTTATAAATCACTCTAAAAAGGAAAAAAAAATCATCTTTTTTTTCAGTTTATTACTACCCATCTCACATTTATATTATATGTCACTGAACAGGGAAAGTTCCTAACAAAGTCAGAAATTGAAATGGGAAAAAAAAAAAAAACACTTAAAAAAACCCAGAAAATGAAAGGATCTACTAAACTCACATTTATATTATATGTCACTGAACAAGGAAAGTTCCTAATAAAGTCAGAAAATGAAATGAAATGAAAAAAAAAACACTTAAAAAAACCCACTTTACAGAAAATGAAAGGATATACTAAATCTAAATACACCTTAAGAGTTTGATAACAAATTCTTTAAAAATAGCAGAATTCAGGAAGTCACCAAAGGACACATCTCAAAGCCACAAATTTTGATTTGGTTTTGAGTCTAAATATAGGTCAGGGACATGGTATTGTTTCGGTTCAGTTTAATGTTTCCTAGCAGAAAGCTACTTCCTTCTGTCTTATTTCTCACTTGGAACCATCACACAGAAGAACCCCAGCACTTGGAGCTCAAGACAAGAGAAGCAGTCTGGAGAAGTCAGGGGAGTTTAACACTTTCTTAGATGGTTGCTCTGGCTGCTACTAGAAAACCTTCTTAAACTTCTTAAAACTCCTACTCAGTGTCCTTTCTACACAATATAGGGTACTTTAATTGAATACCAGGGTGTTCATAAGGAAATGTCATTTATCAAAAGCAAAATATGGCAATATATTACACACACACATACATACACACAGCTTATAGCTATAAATCCATATGCTTGTTGCATCAGTTTAAAGTCGGAAAAAAGAAAGGAAAAAGAAAGAAATAAAAATACCACACCCTGGTTTGACATCCTGGATAAAAGAGGCCTCAAAATTTTACCCAATTATATGACTAAGTCAAACAGATTTTGTAGCTTTTTGGAAAGAAGTCTTAATCCGAGGACACCAACAGACAGAAAAAACTTATTATTTCACCATTTTTTCCCCAATTTTAAATGTGAGTACAACAGTCTTTCCTATGTTTTTCTTGTTTTATCAACTAGCATTGCCATTCAAAGAGTTTTAAATACAACTTGCTGCATAGAGTTTTAAAAATTTTATGGTATAAACTGCTTAAACGCATAAGATAAATAAACTTTGTTTATTTGTTCTTGCAAGCCTCTTGCACTTTCTAAAGTATTTTTAGAACAACACAAAATTTAAAAAAATGTATTAATCATCAAATACATAAATTGTTTATCCCCTGGAAAAAAAAAAAAAAACTCTTGCATTACCAAAATAGATGTAAGAAAACATGAAAACACCAAACTACACCACTTCTCTGAGAGTTATCATTTATTAAATTTACTGAGAAGCAGATAAACATATGAATTGCACAGATACATTTCTCAAGTCTTTGGAGAGTATTTAAAGTGGTTAGTCCAGGATTTCTCCCATCTCTCTCCTCTCCCCTCCAAATTATGTAAAACATCCGAAGACAGAATATTCAAAGCGATTCTCAGATATATACTTGGGTTTTTTTTGATATTTCTTCTTAATTACATATTCTATTTGAGACTGAGAAGTAAGTACAGCGGTACATTTGCCTTCAGATATGATAATGTGAATTCCAAAGGGAAAATTTTTGCCTCTGAGCTACTAAAAAGTACTCTTTTTAAGCTATTAAATATACCTCATTTTTGAAAAAAATATAGCCTAAATAAATAAGGCTGTACTTTGAAAGGAAAACAATTATGAGATTTATGTGAAAAAGAATCAGTGTGGAGAGGGATGATCACTGTCTTACCGTATTCCATTTCTTTGATCAAAGGCAGGTATCATGGATGCTGGATGTTCAGACATTAGGGCCACCAGCAGCTGCAGCACATCGTGAATGTTCTCATCCTGTGTGACAAGCATCAACAAGTTATTTTACAAACTAGCCTCAAAAACAGGTTTTCCACATCCTGGTACAACGGGTTACAGTAAAAGACAGGTAATTACAGAAATGTACCTCATGCATTGTTAACAAGTAATTTAATATGCTCTGCAGTTCGTCTTCTTTCACTCCTCGATCCTAAAAAAGAAGAGAGATTTCTTCAGAGAGAATCTTCTTTAAGCCTAACTTTAAAAGAAACAACAATTGTGAAATTTACTATCTGGACTGAGTTATGTAATCCTACAAATTTACTATTTAAGCTCAAAGGACTAAATTCCCTCTTTCACTCTATTCCTTTTCCTTACCATATTGGTAATACAAAAACAGACTAAAATCTCTTCCTATTAGGAAGCTTTTTTTGGGCAGGCCTCAAAAGATAAGATGCTATTACTGCCCTTCCTCCAATCCCTCATACAAGACCAGAGAAATAGAAGAAATAAGGCCCAAAATGCTGTTTTTCAGGCTAGTGTCAAAGAGCAGGTGATTCCTGAACACAGTGTTCAGCAGTGACAGGCAGATTCCTTAATGTCTTCAACCAGTAGCAGGGCCAAAAAAAAAGAACAAAGCACTAACTGACTTAACCACCATTACCTTCTTATTTGGTTAGTTGAGTAGATTATTATTATTATAAAGCATGGTCCAAATACCTGAGAGGTTTCTTTAGTGCCATACATTACTTCTGCAAGTACTTTTAGTTAAAAATATATAAGCAGTATGGTGAGGCTAATAATGAATTCACTATGTATGAATTCACTACGTTTGTACTGAATATAATGTGTATATTGACATTGATCAGAAGGAGATACAATATTTGATAGGCATTCCATATCCACTGTTCTGAAAGAACCTATCACATCCACACAACAGATTTTGAAGTTTTACATTAATGCAACATTCTGGAATAGACTGCATTACCTTCAGTATAAGCTGTTTCAAAAACAGAAGCATAAATGCCCTTAGTGATATGATTTCCTTCTGTGAGGGCCGAGGACCATCTGGAAGAAGCAGAACATACCACTTTTAAATATAAACTGATTCTTTTAATGACCACCATTATGGAAATCACAGTTCCTACTACAGATGTAGTGTTCTTTTCAATATTTAAATCACAATCATTTATAACCTTGCAGAATCACTTTGGACAACATGCATTATGTGATGTTTCAGCCTCAAGAAATCCAAACATTTTATTCATCTGAATGAATTTCTAAAGATCCAAGCTTTCCAATTCCAAACGAATTTCTAAATGAAGATACACACACATGACGGGTAAAAAAACAGGTCTAGATTTATGTAACTAACGGAAGTGTAGGCTCTATAAGTGTTTCCATATGCCCTAGGAAACATCTTGTGTAAGCAAAAATGCTATAGACTCGATCCACTTAACTGACCCTGGTCAGTGCCAACTCAGGATGAAAATGACCAGTCCTATTGACTATATTGAGTGGAATTCCACTGGGTGGAATGGGAGTTTAAACACCTAGCAGGTGTCTACGCTGCAGGCGTGTATACTTGAAAGGGTTCAGTGGGTATTATTGCCAAGCTAGTTAAACAGAACATTTCATTTTTTTTAAGTCTGATGTGTTTCTTTGAAGTGAAGTCAATGCGTTACACACAGTAATTTAGGTTTGTGCTCACTGCAGGCTTGAAGTGAGTTGTGCTTTTTTGACTAACAGGGAGAATGGTCCTTTCATTGGACCTCCTGCCTCTTCTGGAAAGGAGAGAGAAGGAGAACTGGAATGCAGCAAGCAAATCTCAAACCCTGTTCCTCCCACTTCGAAGCAATGAGGAGCAATGTGAAAATCTTGTCAGTTTTAAAGATACAGAAACAGTTTTATGCAACAGTAACATAACAGTTATCTTATATAGATTCTATATAATAAACCTGGGAAGTTATAAAGTTACAAAAATGGATTTTGCCACTATAAATTTAATGTTTTATCAGACTTATATGTTCCTTGCCATTTGAAGAACTAATACTAGAGAGATTATTTTAAAAATGCATTACCAAGCAGACAACCTATGTTATAATTACAAGAATTACTATGCAATTACTGGATAATTAAAAAAAAAAATAGAGTACTAAGGTAAAGAGAGAAGAACACATCTCAATTTTCAAGTCAGGAATTCAACAGGAGTTTGTCCCACCATCCTTTCATCTTTGTGCCTATCACTGATATGGACAATTAGTGTCACCACAACACAGAAACCAGTGACAGCAACAAGGGTCTGTTCATCCCTGAGGACTAAAGCCCTAACCAAGCCAACCAAACACAAAAAGGAGTCTTACTATGTGAAGATGCTGCACAGAAGGCCCTGTACAAAGTAGCCACAGTGGCCTCTCTTTTTTTTTAATGTACACTTGCAACGGCAGCTAGCCAAGTCTGTCCAGAGAAAAATCAGGAAAACATTTGCCAGCCCAGCCTTTCAGCATCCACCAATTACAGCGGCATAAAACATAATTGTGCAAGTAATTAAGAGGGAAGAAGAAAACGTATTTATAATCGTCAATGCAATTTGGTTCACAGAGTAAAGCACGACCCAGAACAGTGTAAAAGACTGATGAAGAGCTCTGAATATCAGAATTAATTATTTCTAATACTGGCTTTGTTAATAAAATATTGGGTATCAGTTACACAAGCAACAAAATGCAAAATTCTTCCATCTGCCTTTTTTATTTTTTTCTGCGTGAAAATCTTGACTTTCTACCCTTTGAATTAATAAATAAAAACATAATAGCAGAATCCCATCTACACATAAATAAACACCCTACATTATAGAGATTACAAAAGAACCTGTGTTTTACTCTGTTGCGGCAAAGCGAGTGAGGATTGAGATCCAATCCAAACCCCCTCTTGAGATAACTGTGCAGAAGGCAGGACCACAGCTGCCACCTCCTCATGGTTATCTGCCTGAGTCCTACTTTTATGAGCTCATGTTCAAAACATTTGACATGACCTATGTTCTTGGGCACCGTATACAGCGCCTAAGTTAACTTGGACATACACAGCCATGCTTCCTCTAGCAGGAAAAGATCCTGCTCAAAGATCTGCTCAGAGTTGTGAGTAACACAGGAAACCCCAGAGGAGGTGGCCTGTTACCAGGAGTGCTACTCAGGCAGAGGCTTGTCCTTTACATGCACATTTCTCTCATACATTGATGAGGCTGTCAGTATTTAAAGGGATGCTCTGCAACAAAGTCCAGAATTAGTTCAGCAGACTAAATATGGTTTAGAAAATAGTTAGTAGGAAGTATTTTTATGGTTGCTAAGAATTAATTTTGATTACCTGCTACAAACTTTTCAAGGAAGTGGATAGAAAACAAAAAGTACAAAGTGTGTTATGTTTAAGTAATTTTGAATGATTTGCTCAAAAATAAAGTTAGCTTCATATTATGATCCAAGAGATAACAACTATTAATGAGGTACCAGCTCCAGCAGGAACTCTTCCAGTGAGCTTGAGTATGTTACAATTCTACTGCCTGCTAGGATATCTGCTGTGGAGTAAGAATTGTTCCTTTTTTTTTGGTAAATATAAAAATTGAATAAAACTCTAAGCATATAGCACACTGATAATGGACTAACCAATAAAATTTCCCATGACGTTTTTAAATTTGGGGGTATGTGGCATCATAAAAGAGCAGGAGAAAAAAAAACTCCCCCATTTTCTGCATTTCTCAGCAGGATAGCAAAAGAAGAAAGAAGATGGTAAGTTACCTCTGCATCTGTTAATTTTTAAGCAACTTTCAGCAAAATCCTTCTGGCTTTACACAAGTAGTCTGCTAAATGTAATGACATTACAGCTGGAGTGTACAGGATTAGAATGATTTGAGGCTCTGGTTAATAACTCATCTGTTATATGCAGTGTCTACCCTGTACATATGATTGTATTTTGTTGTTCCTGCCATTTAATGCTTCCTAAGCTAAACTAATCAGATGAGTATAAGCTAAGTGGAATTATCCTGTATTTTATAAGGGCAAAGGATAAATATTACTGACCTAGAAACAGAGTTTTAGAGATCTTATCAGTGAGAACAGAAAAGTGTCCCCATGGTAGTCAGGTCTCTTAATATTACTAACTGATCATTATGCTATTCAAATCCTGCAAACTTTTCCTTAGAATATAAAATATATTTAATATTTTGTCTCTAGTACAGAAAAAAGAAAAAAATCAGTGAAGTTTTCTGTATTTCTGAAATATGCTCCACATAATTATATCATAGGTGGGAAAAGAAAAGGAATCTGGGAATACACCTAAACATACAGAATATTCCTTTGCAAATAAAATAATAATTCTTTTCCTATGCACTGTACTTACCTAATCCTTTAGGAGTAATGCCACTGCTATCAGCTGGATTAACCACCCAGTAGTAGTATTTCAGTGTGTGCATTAGTTGCAGTACTGTTCCTACTCTGCGTATGGTGTTGTAGATTGTGGCAGTTCCAATGAATTCAGCCGACAAGTAGGTGTACAGAGACAGCTGCACCTGAAGAATTAAAGAATTATCTACATAAATATAAGTCAAATGCTAGTCTTACTTTCTGAAGTTTTGCTAGGATTTACTTTTTATATGATATAAAAATATAAACAAAAATAATCACAAATAAGTTCACTGAGAGTAGATACTGAACTACATGATGTCCAGAGGCCATCACTCTGCTTACAATAAAAATATTCTTTTTTTTTTTCCTTTTCTTAATCTCTAAGCAAACAATACAATTCAACCAGCAAACAGTCTTTCCATAGCAACAACCAAAACCTTTGGCAAGAAGAGAACGGATTTTAAACAGGATAAGAGGATATAGTCTAACAGGGGATAAACTGTGATCTAAACAATCTCTGCTACTAATGTGTATTTTAAGAAAAAACAAAAACTTATGCACTCGGGAATAAAACAGTACTTCCACTTCACAACAGGAAGGACATAGCATCCTTCAAGAGCACAATTACCTTTGCAGGGGTATGTATCCAGATAGCAGGATTAAAAAGAATGTGATCACATAATTGCTTCAGTAAAGGTGCTCCATGGGATAATCCATCCAAATATTTTGCAAACGATAAAAACTGTTCCAGGACTGCCCTTGTTATGTGAACTCGGGATGACTGGCAAAAAATAATACGAACAAATGTTAAAAAAGAGTCTTCCTTAAGGAATTTACAGCAGAAACATTAAACAGTATTTTCACTGGGATTATCTTCATTAAATACGTTTTGATTGCATTGGATACAAATGGAAAATAAAAAGAAGAAATCAACAACTTATATTTTCTAATAAATAGTTTTAATGGTCTTTCAAAGGCTTACGCTTAACAAATTTAAAATACTCATCAATAAATAAGATTAAATCCCCTTTTCTTCTTTTGTTTTCTTTTCTATCTACTATATTCCAGCCAGCATTCTACATCTTGTGGGACAGTACTTTGAGAAGCTCAACTGAAGTCCTTAACTCTTCATGATTAAAAGTTAATTATGCCTCTTCCTGAAATTTGGCTTCTTGATATGTAAATATACATTATTTCAAGGTTTGTCTTTTTTTTTTTTTTCCCCTCAAACAGAAATAACTATTCGAAGAATTTGGGCTACAACTACAAAATAGTCCTTGAATTCCACAGTATATACTATGCAATCATGCTGAGTGCTATTCCTGTGCAGCAACAGGACACGTGGATTTTGACAAACTTCTAAATTAACAAAAGCC